AAAGTTACATACTTTTTGAAATTTTAACTGTAAAGAAAATCCTTAAAGTTGATGAATTTTAACTAAACTTCATTCGGCTTCTTAGAAGCCCCAACAGTCTCCCTGAAAATTTCATCAAAATACCTCCAGCAGTTTCGGAGCTCTCGTGACAGAGACATACAGACAGAAAAAAAATCATACTAGCATAAGTTGCCAGTAGTTGCAAAAAACCTTTACAATTTCAATAGCCCAAGGTCCACATTATTTAATAAAACTGAAAGTACAAGATGTTTGGCATAGAACTCAATAAAAGTTTAATCAAAGTTAATTACAACAAAAGACTAGATTATTTTCAGTCATTTTTTACTGCCGTATAACTTCGTACCCAAAAATGAAATTGTATATTTCATAATGTACAAAAATAATACATACCTTGGTTAGCTTCCATGGCAGGTTTAGTTTTTTTTTAACGAAAAGGCACTTGTTGGTACAATTCGTTTTAATCACAGTAAACGATGGATAAGACAATTTTATTTCTTCTATATTTTTATCATTTTTCATAATGTTTTGCAAAGATATCGAGTATCCTAACAATAAAAGTAATCCTGTTTGTGGTATTTCGATTATTTATCTCTGATATGGGGGCAATTTTTTTTTTGCACGCAGAATTTTGATTATTGTCCATAGGCGAAGCATCGTGCGACGGTGCTGTTCGCCTGGAGAGCATTAAGGTTGATTCTCACTATACCTTCCATATCAATTCCCTTCCGTTTCCCTTCCGTTCACATAAAATATTATATCATGGAAATGAATAGGACAATGCACACTATCCGTTCCGTTTCCCTTCCGTTCCATATCTTTTCCTTCTATAATACGAGTACTAAATTCTATTTTTTTGGCGGACGGACTGAAGCGTATCGGAAACTGCGTTGTCAAGTTCTTACATTTGTACCAGCTCTTTTAACATTTTGCCGATATTTATTTATTCTTTCACCTCTTAATTAAATCTATTACCTTTTTCAAAAGATACAAATTTTTAAAATAAAACTTTCGTAATGATATAAATTGTACAATAAAAAGTATGGAACTGATACGGAACAGAAGCTTACGTATAGCGTCAATACAATAAAAATACGGAACGAATAGGGAATGGAAACGAAAGGTATAGTGAGAATCAACCTTTATAGGGTGAGTAAGGTTTGTGCTCAAATGAGCGCCACTGATTCTACCTAATAGTTAAATAACATTAAAGATTCAGAAAACTGTTTTATTAGGAAAAGATGTTATTTACCAAGATGGAACCTCATTCATGCAATTAAACAAGTAAGTTTCTAACCTACTAAATCTAAATATATTAATTAAAATTAATACTTGATTATAAAATGCGTTTGTTTTATAACAAACAAAAAATAATGAAATAGGTTTATATTTTGAAAATCAATTGAGGTTAAAATATTATTTAAATTTGTAATTAAAATATACAGGGTGTAGTTCCTGGAGTTCACCCTGTTCAATCCTGTCCAACATTGCCGTGATCAGCTGCTGCTGTTGGATAAGTTACCCAGGCTTGTATACTTTTATTTTCGGGTACACTATAAAAGGTATAGATAATTAAGTCTGATTTAATTTTATTATTTTTTTATAAGTAATTTTCAATATCTGTACTTAATATTTCACTTAATTTAATTATACAGGGTGGCGCACTTCATTCGCCTCGGTTGATTATACAGAAATGGAAAGATGTAGAAACAAAATATTTTATGGGTATACGTGGAGAGGCAATGTGCACAATTTAAAATTATTTTGAAACATACAGGGTGTCTCAGAACTAAGATCCACACCAAAGTTATATTTTTTCTTATGGAATACCCGGTATTTTATTTCATTTTTGGATTCTTGGGCCCAAAAAAAGACATTTATTATAAAGGTTAAATATGTTTAAAATCTTTGGTTTTTGAGATATTTAAAGATATTTAAATATGCACGCTACAAAAGAATTGATTATTAACATCCTGTACATTACTTTTCAGAATTAATTCTGGTGCTGAGTTTAAAGGTAAAGAAATAAATTTTACTGAAAAATGTCATTGCTTCCTTAAATTTATACAGGGTTACCAAAAATTGGTGATCTATTTTAAGGACTTATTTTACATAAAAACTTTGTTATTTCAAATACAACACCCTGTATTTTCTTAAATAAATCGAAGCAGATTCAAATGCTTTTTCAAACTATATTAAGGTTTCCTATACCTATCTATCTCAGATTTTGAATAAAAAGCGATTTTTAAATAAAATGGCATGGCAATCAAGATAGTAGGTATCGCCATGGCAATTTTCTAGTGACAGTAACTATTTTCAAAATCGACATTAGTTTATGGATATTATTATTTAAACAGTTTACTAAAATTTACCCACAATAGTTTAATAAATAAGTATTCTTTATTTTATGAAGAAAAATAAAGCCGTATCTGCTGGCGGAACGAATGGATATGTTATTAGTGATTTTATTTTGTGAGGAAAATTATTTCTTGGCTTCAAGAGCTTATGCTCAGAGATATCCAAATAGGAATCTTCCTGATAAGTGTTCCTTTGAAAAACAACTTGTCCTATTTCCTATTTCGCAGAGTTGTTAGTGTAGTTTATTAAAAACCTATTAGGCAGAAACCTGTCGTTGGAAGTGAAGAAATTGAATTTGCCGTAATTGGCTCTTTTATAGAAAATCCATATATCTACAAGTTATCGTAAAATAAAACAAAGAACTACTTCGTTTTTCTTTATAGAATAATAAAAATACATATTAATAAATATTATTTATTAAATTATTGTAGGTAAATTAAATAAAAGTAAACTGGTATAAATTTAAATAAAGTCTATAAACTAATTTCAATTTTGAAAATAGTTACTAACTGTCACTAGAAAATTGCCACGGCGATACCAGGCATCTTGATTGAAATGAAATAAAATACCGGGTGTTCCATAAGAAAAAATATAACTTTGGTATGAATCTTAGTTCTGAGACACCCTGTATATTTCAAAATAATTTTAAATTGTGCACATTACCTCGCCACATATAATATTTTGTTTATACCCATAAAATATTTTGTTTCTACATCTTTCCGTTTTCGTATAATCAACCGAGGCGAATGAAGTGCGCCACCCTGTATAATTAAATTAAGTGAAATATTAAGTACAGATATTGAAAATTACTTATAAAAAAATAATAAAATTAAATCAGACTTAATTATCTATACCTTTTATAGTGTACCCGAAAATAAAAGTATACAAGCCTGGGTAACTTATCCAACAGCAGCAGCTGATCACGGCAATGTTGGACAGGATTGAACAGGGTGAACTCCAGGAACTACAGCAAGGCCACAAATCTTTGTTGAGTTGAAAAACAGGGTGGATGTCTCGACACCATCCGATCACGTGCAAGTGAATGTAAAAATAAAACCACCAAAGCAAAAAAGAAAATCAGGAAAAAGTAAAAACCGGAAAAAAAACTGTGGACAATATTTAAATTAATATTTATGGATTTTAGGTTATGATACCTTACCCCAAAGTGTAACTAACAACTTATCCCGGTACCATTAACAATTGACAAAAATTAGTGGATCCATTCAAAATTGTTATCCAAATCTAATGAAAATTATTAAAAGAATAAGAAAAGAAAAAGGCAAAAAAACGTGAATAACATAACTTACCCAATATCTGGCCACATCCACATGGCACACCAAAAAAAAAAAACAAATCTGCTTTGGTTCAGGCAAGCCCTTGTAACAATCCATAATACTCTCCAACAACATCAAAAAATTACACTCGCAACCCCACAGGAACCATACAGGCTTACCATAAGGAATCCACCGGGAAAAGAACAATTCTCGACCAAAATGAACCTTCAAAGATTTTGACAATCTAAAAACGACATCAGAAAACGGAAGTTAAATAAACAGGTATCATGCCATGTTTTTGCTGGTCTTCCTGTATCAACGAATATAGGAGGATAAACTGGATAGGTATTGAAGAAGAAATCATCTTTTACTGGCCACAAAATCGTCAAAGTAAACATATCAAAAAACTACCAGTACATTTCTTGGACTACATTGAAGATAAAAGAAGATCAGTGTTGCAGAAATGTTGCAAATATTGGACAAAAATTACTAGAAATATAAAAAGTGGTATGGTTTGGTGAGTGGTACTAATTCTTTTTAGCCGACCATACCAACAGGTATGATAGGCTATTAAGATCGGCAAAAAAAAGTTTTTTTAATTTCACTCAAAATGAGTTATTTGGGTCATAAATGACCTAAATACAAAATATTTTCATGGTGTCTGTCTGTCTGTCTGTAACACGATAACTCAAAAACCGCTAAACCGATATTAACCAAATTTGGTACAAAAATACTGTGGCACCCGAGAATCTGGCCAATAATTTTTGATGTGATGTTGAAATCCGTGTGGAGAACTCCAAACTCCCATCGGACGCGACCCCAGGTGGCGGATAGGGGAAATAACCGCGGACCAAAATTGGAAAAATTCCTTTACCTTGAAACTAAAAGAATTGCCTACCAACTTTTTATTAACATATTTTAGTATGGGCGGCTATACGTGCCTACCGGCGCCAATTTTTTTTTCTCAATATTAAGGGTCTGTCTTATGCCGAAAACACTACGACGTGTACCGCATATCCTGCTTGTCCCTTTTCTATATCTGCAACTACTATTTTATCCTAAATTCCGTAATCCTGGGACTTCAAAACGGGATCCCGATCCCGAAAATTGGAAACCCTAATTGTATTATAAATATTTGTAAGCGCTTCTTTAAAGAATTAATTATTTATTAACATAAAGTAAAATAAATCATTCACGCAGATCATTTTAAGCTTATTTTAAACGATAAATAGGCCTAAAATGATCGTGTATGCAAAACGCCAACCAAAAAAACATTGAACATTCCCCAAGACCGTTTAGAATAGACAATGACAATTGGTGGTAAATATTTACGAAGTCAAACATTCCTACCTTGCTTTGGGTGGCGTAGTCCAGAGCCAGCATACAATCGTTGTATCCATTTTCAGTCTTAATGGTGGTCGCCATGGGACCGCAGAGCTGGCCCAATTGGCCGCCCACGGAGTCGCGGTACCACGGGTACATATTCATCTGAAAGGAAATGATAGATATAGAGTATGTACCTACTGCGTAATAAAGCAGCTTATAATGTAATTAAACTGCTCGTCATTAAGTAACATTAGATACAAGTTTGATTTTTATTGGTCATGTTAAGCTATATTTAATCAGATTATACATGTTCATTTCAAACGAGTTAGACAGTAAAAAAGATATATACAGTTTTGAACTATGTGTAAATATGTAGAAATATGTAATATTAAAACTGAAAGAAGGGAGAGGTGACCGAAAATTGTAATTTAAAAACAAACTTAAAAATTTTATATTATAAGTGCAAACCTAAAGTATACAGGGTGACGTACGTGTACTCGGTTGATTATACGAAAACGAAAAGATGTAGAAACAAAATATATTATAGGTATATGTAGAGAGGTAACGTGCATAATTTAAAATTATTTTGAAATGTACAGGGTGTGTCAGAACTAAGATCGATACCAAACTTATATTTTTTCTTATGGAACACCCTGTATTTTATTTCATTTTTGGATTCTTGGACATAAAATAAGGCAGTTATTATAAGGGTTTAATATGTTTAAAAGCTTTAGTTTTTGAGATATTTAAAGATATTTAAATATGCATGCTATAATAAAAAAGTTTGTCAATACCTTGTTACATTACTTTTCAGAATTAATTCTTGTGCTGACTTTCAAGCCAGAGAAATAAACTTTACTAAAAAATTTGATTGCTTCCTTAAATGTATACAGGGGTATCAAAAATGGCTGGTCTATTTTACATATTTATTTTACATAAAAACATCGTTATTTCAAATACAATACTAGGTATTTTTTTGAATAGGCCGAAGCAGATTTAAATGCTCTTTCAAACTATATTAGGGTTTCCTATACCTATCTGGCTCAGATTTTGAATAAAAAGCGATTTTTCATTAAAATTTTAATCAAGATGGCTGGTGTCGTTATGGCAGTTTTCTAGTGACAGTAGCTATTTTCAAAATCGACATTAGTTTTAGACACTTAAATCTTCTTCGATTTAAATCTTCTTCGATCTATTTAAAAAAATACAGGGTGTTGCATTTGAAATAACGAAGTTTTTATGTAAAATAAATAATTAAAATAGACCAGCAATTTTTGATACCCCTGTATATATTTAAGGAAGCAATAATATTTTTTAGTAAAGTTTATTTCTCTGGCTTCAAAGTCAGGCACACGAATTACCTCTGAAAAGTAATGTACAGGGTGTGACAAACTTTCTAATTTTAGCATGCATATTCAAATATCTCGAAAACCAAAGCATTTAAACATATTAAACCCTTATAATAAATGCCTTATTTTATGTCCAAGAATCCAAAAATGAAATAAAATACATACCATAAGAAAAAATATCTTTGGTATGGATCTTAGTTCTGACACACCCTGTACATTTCAAAATAATTTTAAATTATGCACATGGCCTCTCTACATATACCCATAAAAAATTTGTTTCTACATCTTTCCGTTTTCGTATAATCAACCGAGGCGAATGAGGTGCGCCACCCTGTATACTAGGATGTATTTCAAGAAAATATTTTAACTTCTATAAGGTAGCTTAAAAAAGTGTGAGTGAACTGGGATGATTTTTTTTAAATGGAACACCCTGTTTATTATTGCATTTTTGGCTTCCTTTCAGATCATTTTATATGATCCTAAAATTATGAGTAAATATATGTATTTTAATGTTTTCAAGATATTAATAAATAATGATATTGATGTATAATATATTTTTAGCCTTTCTTAAAGATATTATTAAAAATACAAGAACTGTCCTGAAATCAAAAATATATTAGGTATTTACTTTAGTTGGGCTGTACTTACTTTGCTATAAATATGGTAATGGTAAATCATACAGGATGTTCAAAACTCCACCCCAAACTTTCTAAAATATAAAATAACTTTTCTTCGTTTTTTTTTAAATTGAATAACACCCTGTATATTATTTTTTCAATGGATGGAGAATTAAAAAATGTATTTTTGTATTTGGAATATTTCAAAACTTTTACCGGTTTCGCAGATATTCGCGGTTTTATATTTCATATGACATTTTCCACAGTAAATTTTTTTTAATTTTTTAAAAAAAAATTCATAATAATGAGTGTATCTGCGAAACTATTAAAAATTCTGAAATACTTTAAATAATATATAAAACATAATAATTTTTAACTCTCCATTTAATAAGAAAATAATATATAGGATGTTCCATTTAAAAAAAAACGAAGAAAAATTATTTCATATTTTAGAAATCTTGGCGTATAATTTTGAACATCATGTATGATTTACGATTTCCATATTTATAGCAAAGTAAGTACAGACCATCTCAAGTAAATAGTAGTTTTGATTTCAGGACGGTTTTTGTATTTTTAATAGTCTTTTTAAGACAGTGATGTAGACAGCTTAAATGAAAAATCAAATGTATTAAAAATTGATGGAGGTTAGGTTGATACATTTCTCTTCCATGCGGTATTGACGGATTTTGCATCAAAATTTTAAACCGTACAAGTAGGTGTTTTCGAAAAATGTTGCATCTAGGATTGGAACTTTATTTTTTACAGTTAGTTATCATTTTACTACAGCTGTAATAGATTCCTAAACAACTGTCTAACAGAAATTAGCTTTATTCAGTAGCTTAGATATATTATTTTCGTTTATTATTTTGTTTCTCGTATAAGCCGGCAACTTTGTAAGACGCCTTTTATTTTGTCTCTCTGTCTGTCAACTGGTCGTATATATTTATCTCTGTCATATAATATAAATAAATTGAGCAGGGCTAGTATATTACTAAATAATAGACACATCATTCCTTCCGTACATCTTATTATACTGAACACATTGACTGTACTCTTCGTACATACCAAATTCGGCTCCCAAAGCCGTTCTTTGCCGACCGTGTATGTTTCCCTGCATTTCGCTTGGTTGTATATTACATAAGGGTCTTGCAGCCGCTTAAAACTTTGCCGTAAAATATCAAGGTCGTAATTATATCAGGTTAAATTCTAAAGGCGCTGTTTAACAAGTATACGAACTCAATTAATCCATATTTTATATTTATTATAGCGACTTGTACGGAAAACGAACACATAATATATAATGTTCCGTTTTTGCATAAAAACCCGATGTAAATAGTCGGTGCGTGCACAGTTTTCAGCTGCAGCACTGTTTGAACTTTTGTTTACATTTTTTGTTATTACGTTTGCGTTTTTTTCCGGAGCACGAAGGTTTGCGGTTATGACGATGATGGTTGACAATAATTTCTTTTTCTGTTGATTTAGGCTTCAGAAATTAATTATTAGCTAAACTAATTTATAATGTCAAAAAGTGCTGAGTGTAACTATTTTATTCTATTATAATTATTATTATTTAACAGCAATAAATATGACGTTAGTTATAAAATTCTATCAATAACAATCTCTTAAAGAATGAAAACGAAATTATATTACCATAGAAACACGTTTTGATTTTTAGAACTAAGGAAAAATTCAACCATATTTCCATGCTTTTTTTAATTTTCTCCAAAACGGTATGGAAATTTGGAAAAGTATAAACGGGATTAACCCATTTTAGAACAAGCAAAAATCTTTATGAAGAATGCGTTTTTTTGAAAATGTCAATAATAAAAAAAGGTCTCTTGTAAAGACCCAATCCGGGGAATACACTATATACCACATAATCGACGTCGAAAAACGGCGTCAGCAATAGCTAGGAAGTTCGTTGTCATTTTATCTGTAAAATTATATTCATATACGGTATTTAATCAGCATTGCTTCCCCTAAAATTTGATGTAAAAGTCGGGAGAATACCACCGCTCAATAAATATAACCCCATAATGTTTATTTCACCAAAAAAGACTTTATACGAATATTATACGATTTTATACGACTTATGCCGGGACCCATTAGACGGACCCAACACGCCACGCGACGCTATCCCACGTCGCAACACTTGGGCCCACGTGTTGCGACGTGGGAAAGAGTGTAAACATGAGATCTGGGACAGACGACAGACGTGTGATAGCGTGTTATGGCATCGGATGGCGTGGCGTGTTGCCTAGTGTGTACGCAATACATGTAATTAAATTGAAAAACATAAGCACAGATCTTCATGACGTGGGGTAGCATGGCGTCGGCGTGGCGTGGCGTGTTCGCTAATGGGGTCCCAGCATTATTGTTGACGTCTACCATAAATCACATATTCGTTAGCAGTAGTTTCAGATTTAAATATTTAAAGAATTACCATTTCCATTTTTTTAAGAAACTTTGGAGTAGAAGTGTGTAGATAAAATAATAGAAGTAAAAAAATAGGAACATCTGTGTTAATTTTGAATGCTATAATTAAATCAAATAGACATATGTATTAGGTTCACCCTATAATAATAACGTTACATAAATCAAGAAATATTTACTTTATAACGGCTGCAAAAAACTTTCTATTTAGTATCTAATAAATATCAAGTGCAATGGCAATTGGGTTTGCACAGAAAGAATTTCCATACCTAGTCAATATTACAGTACCTTTATTATCTGTTTATTGCTTATTGTTTAAAAAAATAAGTGCTTAAAAAGTAATCAATTAAATTTAAATAAAGTATCTATGTATTTTAAACCGTATAAAATTTATTTTATTAATACGCTTATATACAGGGTGTCCCAGGCTGAGCCTGCATTAAAAGTTTCTAGAGAACCACAATATCTAGATCGGAGGTTTTTGCATATCATTGTTCTGCAACGAGATCTATCGATTAAAAATATTTTCAATATGGCGACACTTCCGGAAATACCGGAAGTTAACAGCAACTTTTTTATTTTAAATGGATACCCCCATTTTTCATTACATATTGAAATTCTCTATCAAATTTTATGAATTTTGATATTAAACACTCTATACCTAACATTAACCGTTTTTGAGAAAAAAAAATATTTAAAATATTTGAAGGAAAAAAACTGCCTGTCAAAAATATGTGTAGAGAGCCTAAACGTCAAATTTAGT